TGTTGGTGTTCAAAATGGTGGGTAGCGAGTGCTGTAAGATTTTGCTCGGGTTTTTTGCAATCATAGATATGTTACTCTCTTGTCCAGATATTGGGATGTAAGACCGATGTAAGTTGCCGGACAGTTTAAACAGTTGATCTTGTAGATTACGTCAGATTTATTTGTTATTGGTGGGGGATCTTTAATTTTGGAAAAAAGTGTGGATTGTTTTATAATTTTTGAAAGCTATTTTGAAGTTAAGAGATGAAATAAAGATCGAAACATTGGCACGATAAAGAAAATGTTTTTCTGAAACCTACATCACACCAGCCCGCATCTCACGATTTCTGAATAATTATCGATTAACGGTCACTAATCACCACACATCGTTATTAAATTTGATCTTTTGTACATTTTGTACAATTTTTTGAAGAATTTTTTTTTTAATTACATTTGTTCCCCATAATAGGTGAGTGGTGTTTCTCAATTTTATTTGAAGGACATATTATAATGGAGGACAGCTTTTTGGCCATTTACTCCCTTGCGTTTTTTTTTTTTTTTTTTTAATCCTAAATAATTAGTGAAGCATTTTGTAAATAATTGTTAATAAGTAGTAAATATGAAAATAATTACTGTATTTTTAAATAATCATAATTTTTCATCACTTATTCCTAATTTATTTATTTTAATATGCTTCAAAAATATATTTTATATATAAATTTTGTGAAATAATAGTTTTACAATTGTGTCTAATTATTTTTAATTATCACAAATAAATTTGACATATAAGTAATAAAATGGGACTGTGCTAGTCAAGTGGTTAGATGATTCTCCACTTGTAAACCCTACGATAGTGGGTTCAATCGCCCCCCTCAGACTAGGAAAAGTACAATAGGCCAAATAATCAAATCCGATAAATACTTAAATAGCATATGCATGTAAAGCTAAAATGATTCGTCTTGATCATTTATATTTAAATGAAAAAAGTCCAGATTTTCCCATTCATAATTAAATTTTAAAAATCAATTGTATTCACAGATTCACACACCACCTACCTAATGCTGATAAATAAGGACAATAGTTTGAATTCTGGCCACTAACGATCATTTCAGTTTGCCTATTCTCGCTGGGTTGTCTGTTGTCACTTGCGACAACACACAACAGTAAACATGTTCACTTAATAACAATTATATTTCAGGTTTTCTCCTGCCCGGTCAACCGTAGGCACAGAGAAATCATGCAATAATAATTTATTAATTACCTTTTTAGAAGAATTTGGTGGTATTAAATACGGCTGACAATTCAGGACCTTGAAGCCAAACCCTTGGCAATATTGACCATTAATAGCAAATACGTGTATAAACAATGGCAAAGCACCAGTATTTCTAGCAGTAAAGGATCGCTTTACTGTTAAATTTGGTGAACCCACCGACTTACTCCCTTGCGATCCTGTAAATAAATGACATTTATATTTTTTTAAATAAGAGAAACAAACCATATAATAATCATATTTCAGTAGAAATCTATATTATTCTTGAATATAATTAATATCAGCCCTTCATTATTATTAAAAATCAGGTTTAAGCCCAATTTAAAAGAAAACTATCAGTTTCTTTATCAGGACATTGAAACTATTATTCAAAATTTACATAATTAACAAATATAAATATGTCTGAATGAAACAGACAAAGCAAATATATCAGAATCAACTTACGATCGCATTCGACAGCATGTTTTTCTAACAATTCGAAGAACAATGGCATGGAACTGCCAGGCTTTCGATTACCAAGCTTCAATTGAGCGTACGCTCCGGTACCAATCAACTGTACTGCTTCCAGAATCGTTAAGTTATTCCTGAAACAATTTTATTTACGTTTTAATTTAAATATTTACCATCGCTTACCCACTCTAGCTATACCTAATAAGTAGAATAGATGTGCTTAAATCAGCATGTTCAGGTTTAAAAGCGATAGTCACCGTCGCATTTGCCAATGGTTTCAATATAAAAGCCACTGACTTTTTATGAGGCTGAGTTCCAGGAGGAATTGGTAAATCATCATTTATTACTACATGAAACACATCTTTCATTTCATTCAGAACTGAACCATAGCTCATATTAATGGAAGGCCTTAAACTAAAGCGGACAAGTACTATTATTCTATTCTAAAAGAGCCATGGTTGAAAGTAACTGGATTGTTAAAAAAATACCTGAGAGGAAGATCGTTAAGGACGCCTTGTGCCAAGGGATAATTTGAATCAAGCAGAAGTTGTATCACAACTGGTTGTTTTGATGCTGGATTGATTATGGTCAATTGCTTGTAAGAAATAGTTTCTACTTGGGTCAATGGAAAATTAATAGTTCTAGTTGGTATTGGAATCACAGAAGGCCAAGCAGGTCGAATTATTGCTTTAAATCCTAAATTACGAACTTCTGTGGTATCCAAGCGCAAAGAGAGTTCAATGCGGTCTGAAGATATATTTTGATACTGTTCATAATGTTTGGTTAATAGGCTTATATCAATTTCACGAATGTGACTAGGTAACGTTAACGTGTCTAACCACCTCTGGGTACCTAGAATCAAAAAGTGATACCACATTAAATTCCAATGCTTTTAAACCATTGAGGTAAAAATCCTAACCTGGAAGTGGAGAATGAGGGGAAAGATATGATTCGACTCCAGACATATCCCATGTTATATGACCGAGAAAAGTGTTTGTCTGTGGTGGAATCAAAGGAGGAGAAACTGGAATGAACCCAAGCCTCGGATGGTGTGGGATACTAGCAACGCTGGTTATCGCCATTCCAACAGAAAAGTTTGACTCTGCTCTTACTTCTGCAGCACACACTGCACTCTGAAAATAAAACAAATATCGCATAATTTAACACAGATGATAATTAACACTTTTTAAATATTAAAATAAGAAAAATCTATTTTGTTTGAGGCAGTCTGCCAACTCCAAGAATACTTACAAGACCTTCACACTCAACCAAAAAAAAATCTACGACCTAGAAGCTTCTGGATTTTACCTCATTACTCAATCCTTCATAAACTCCCAACAAAAACCATAATTTTCCTAACCACCCTTTATAATGCAACCCTCTGAATACCATGTGTAAATATGGGTGGTGTTTAATAACCGTTAGTTAATGATTATTTGGAGATTGTGAGATGCGGTCTGTTGTGACGTGTGTTTAGAAAAACATTTTTTTTATTATGCGACGTTCAATCTTTATTGAGATCATCTTCCGGACTCAAAATGTTTGTTTTCAGTGTAGATGTGTCATTATTGTGTGTCGTTTTGAGAGTGCCCCACTGGGTCAACACGACACACAAAGTCCACATCTCCCCCACAGTCTGGGGACAGCACCCAGAACACCAAGGTACTCCCAGAAAGACAGAAGTGACCAACCCACAGCACACGACAGACCCCCCCCCAGCCAGGCGCAGCTTGACACACCTTCCCAAAGATTAGCTCTTCCTTCACAATGCTGAAAAAACCTATATAATAATACAGTTGTTTGGTGATGGTTTGCCTGGTCACTTCCCATAGCCAAAACACTCTCCTAACTGAAAGCTTTGCTAACTTCTTCTGAGTTATCAGTCAAAAAAATCTTTCCTTCTCATACTCAGGACAAAATAAAACACTGTTTGATACTTTTTGTCTCATCACAGTTCACACAATTAGATGGTCTCAGTTTACTCCTATCTAAGTAAGCACTGCATATGGAGTGATTTGATCGGATTCGGGATATCGTAGGATAGAAACTTTTACTTCCAATCATGCCTGAAAACCAAGGGGTACGATTTGGTTGGGGGAACATAGATTTGTAGATCGATCCAACTGACATATATTACACCTTGCTCATCATTTTTCTCTCCATTTGGATAAAAAAAAGAATGCTAAAAGAATCTTTTAGCATCAGCTTTTGGAAATGTGATTTCATGAGGTTCTGTGTGGACTGTAGTATATTTGGCAAGTAAATCAACGTTCTCATTATATATACATTATATTGTATGTGATAGTGTCCCTGACTCCAACAAAAAGCTACATTTTTATTTTTAGATTTGAGATTAAAAGATTAATTTATTAATTCAATAACCAGGTAATCGCAGAGTTAGGATGGAAATATTCCATTTGGGCTATATAACTCATACTGTCCGTAACCATACAGAGATGAATGTTTAAAAAATTAAACATCTTCCAGAGAGAAATGGCAATATGGGCACCCTGGTTAATAAAATTTGGTCCTCCATGCCTTAAAAAAATTTAAATTTAATTGTGAACTTTGTTAACATTTAGTGACATTTGGGTTTCAAATAGATGGATCTGGGCTGAAAGAAAACCTTTTAATCCCTTTTTTAAGTGTCACCAATAACAAGTCTATAAGCTGTAGTTAGGATTTAGCTTATTATTTAAGATACAGACCAATATATTTTGTATTTGACTGGCAAATATCAAAATTATTTTCAACACTTATAGTTAGCATATGATGCTTCTAAAGACATATTGAAATCAGAGAAAATAAATGTTTTTAAAATTAGGACTATAGCAGTAAAAACACTTTTTTACTGTCGGGTCCTATCATAAGTAAAGAGTTATTAATAATTATTAAAGTGAAGTAGTTACATGCAGGAGGGCTTAATGTCCAACTACTTAGTTTAGGTTGGTTAACTAGTTAGGTGTTGAACCACTTTATAATACTGATTTCATATTATTTTCAATTAAAATTCCATGGGCTATGTACAAGGAACTGTATGTAACTGCTACTGTCTCAAATACAAGTTGGACACCTTAACCACCAATTATATATAAAATGGTTATTTTCTTACCGGAAAGCAATCAAGAAACTCTACTGGATTTGTGATGATGCTAAGGCTACCATGTTCAATCCTCATGTACAAAGGAATCACTATTGTTTCATATTCAGTTTCAATGGTAACGTCACCCTGTAATCGGCCGGTCTCTTGGCTTACAGGTATCAAAACTTGAATAACGCAAAAATATCCTGGTCCAACGTACGGTTCCTGAAATACAGAGTCATATATTTATAACTGAATAACGGTTTGTAATAAACAACTCACATTTAATGTCATATTATAATCGTCTGATGAAATGGCAAGAGTCGCTACTGAGTAGTTTCCCTTTTCAACTGCTACGACTCTCACAGAACTTTTGGCAATGTTTATAAATAAAGATTTGACTTGAACAGCAACTGGATTTTCGTTTATTAAAGCAAAATTAACAATTTGTGTACTCCCACTTCCTACAGTTCCTAAATACAATTCTGTATCATTTACATCAGATGGCAAAACCTAGAAAATTTTAAAATGTTATCATCTTTTTCTATATATTTATGACTTTTATTTTTAAACCTTAATGACATACAAAACTGCTGTTAGTTTAAATATAAAAGCCATATTTACAATTAAATTAATAGCCAGAGATACGTTACCTTTATTAACTTCCCATCGTAACACAATATAGGTATAGGGAGTATCGAAACGTTGCTGAAAATAGTCAGTGTTGATTCCAATTTAAGCCTATGAGGAAGTCTTCCATCTTTGACATTTAGAAAAAGGATATTTTCTGTCTGCCCTGGGTATATAACAGTGGGAGAAAAATCTGAAATCTAAGAGCCAACAGGTTTCACTTTTGTCATTAACTGTAAAAATATTTATTTTTTTAAATCAAGCCCTATCAAAATTTGCCCTGTATATTAATTGGACTTTTATTATTATTACAGTATTCTGAGTCGCTAACAGTAACTAGATCCATTTACATCATTAAGATGAACTGTTAGTATTCTTGTACACCTTTCGGTGGCCGCAACGGTTTAGGCGTTGACACAGCGCTCATTACTGTAAGGTAAAGGCCCCGGGTTCGAATCCAGCGGCCCTGCATTCGAACCCGACATACTTACAAATGGGCTTTTTTTCAAAAACCCCGGTACCCCGAGGGTTGATATGACCTCTGTTGCGAACCCTCGTTAAAANTTAGGTTTCATTCTGCAGTCTTTCATATCTTTATTGTATATAGTATTACACCTCATCATTGCCAGAAGTAATTGTAGTCTGACACATATGCAAAATAAGTTCTCAAGTTCTTAATATAAATCGACTATATTTCGTGGTCTGATTGACTTCCGATTAGCTAGGCAAAACGACTGTCTCATTCAATTGACCAGTATCTGAGGTTCTTAATATCATGTCATTTTCTTGCCTAAAGGTTTTTTGCCAAATCTCAATACAGTTTGATGATAGTGAAAAAAAATTGTAATAAACTCAGAGTTCGAATCCTGAAAGCTTAGTGACGAGTCACCGATTCAACATTCTAACTGTCCAATGTTTTAAACTACTATTTAAAAAAATTAAAAAGACTAACTATTTTAACATAAAATAAACTTATGTATTAAACCTCTTGGATAATTTGAAAAAAGTAATAAGTACTATTTGTGATAAATATATCTGCTAAAGTATATAATGCGTTTGTTTATTTTTGTATTGAAGACAAACAAAACATAATTCTAAAAGTGTTTATAAACTATGTACCTCGAAAAAAGGTTGAACAGCATCGGCTAATGATGCATTTGTAATTGCCACTGGGATTTTGTAATTATTAGTTAACGTTATCGGTCTCCAATATATGTCTTCACTGTCAGACTGAAACTTTGTTTGACTCCCGTTAAAATGAAGGCCACCATCTAACACTGTAGCAGAATAAGTCATCACAAATTTCTGGCCATTTTGAGCGCTTTTAACAATAACTCTGCCGCTAGAATGGCCAGTTTCGTGCGCTGCTTTCCCTGTGAAATGATATTCAATAAAAATGGAGAAAAATAGTTCATTAAAAAGTTTATAATTTTTTAATTTCTAAAAATAAAATAACTGTCTCAACAGAAACATTACTAACTTCCAAAATTAAAAGAACAAGAACAACAACAAAGAAGAAATTAATTCAACACAAAACTGACAATGAAAAAGGCTACTTACAGTCAAAAGTTAAAACAGCTGCTTGTGTTGGAATATTTGTGTCCGGAGGAATTTTGACCGGCTGGAAGTCAATACTCAATGCTTTTGAAGAAGGGATTGCAACAACATTCTGCATAGAAAAGAAATAGTTTTAACATTCCAACGAGCCAGTAGAGATTAGGAGTAAAACATCAATATTTGTACAAATATATTGGCAGTAAATTTAAATAGTAGTTGGTTGAGATAAGGAGTTGGTGTCTCGGGGACCAAAGTCACGATAGATCAAGTGGTAGAGCACCAGGGTCGTAAAGCTGAGGGTCGTGCGTTCCGAGTCCCACTTGTGACACTACTTTTTCTTCTCAACCTTCTTTGCATAAATATCAAATAAAAAAACAAAACTGATAACTGATGAAAACATTTATACACTTAATTTATATGCTGAAAGACAAAAAACCGGACACTTGTATTTATTTGTTTATTTTTCATAACTATGTATAAAGATTAATAGTTGACTTAAAATGTAAATACAACATTAATAACTTATCGTTTAGCTTAAATGGGTTATATTATAACAAATAAATTTCAATTTCATCCTTTCCAGAGCCAACTTGTCGAGTGAGTTAACTGGTTTTTTAAATTGTTTTCTTTAATGAAACAATAAATTTCAGTAAAAAATTAAATATTAATAGGTTTTAAGTTGAGAAGAACTTGCCCAGAAGTTGCTTTAGCCAATGATGGATGCAGCAACAGTTTCATAGCCCAAGTCCTAGGTTTTCCACGCTCTACCATCCTCGATGGTCTACAGCAGTGTAGAGCCACCAGAAGTCTCAAAAGGGCAACCCTCTCACCCATGAGACCAGAACCACAACTAAGTACTCCAGAGTGTGTGCTTAAGTTGGAACTGGAAAAATGGATTGAGAAAGAAAACTCAAGCACCAGACAAATACTCCAGGTATGAGGGAAGAGCTAGGAGATTTATAAACATCTCAAAATGGAAGGTGAAAGAACTCCTCTCTCTCTCAGAAAAATTAAAGGTTTCTACACTGGCCACTGCCCTCTTTAACTATTTTTAGCAAGGCTCAGACAGAAACATGCCAGCTCTACCAGGGGGAACCAGAGACATCGGCACATATTTTTTGCAAATGAAAAGTGTTACCCATTTATAGTACAGCCACTTCGGTAGGACATTTCTTCCAAGGAGATCCACGAAGAGACACCAAGGAAAGTGCTTAGTTTTATAAGAAATAGCACACTTTCCAAGGTATGGTATAAAGAGGTTCCACAGCAGACCTGTTTAGTTCGCAATAGAGGAAAGAATTGATTCTGCATCAACCCCCCAATAAACCATTTAAAAAAGTCCCAATCAAAAAGAAGGTAGTGATCAATCACGATGTATGATGGCTAGAGACAATCGTTTTATTGCTCTTTATTCGTTTTATATCGTTTCTATATATCGTTTTATTACTACAGAACTGCCATTAATGGCTTACTTGATTGGTAGTCAACTCTAAATGGTCTGTAATGTAAGGATGAGCTCTAAAACATCAGACAGCTTCATGAAAATAGCCTAGCCTATTGACGGCATGCATCAGGTTCTCTACTACTGGGATATATTGAGTAGAAAGATGACTATGCACAAAGCAGCATCTCGCTTGGGCACTTGAACAATGGGGGGGGCACTATTCTCTTCACAAAGTGCCAATTTGGTTTGTGGTAATTAGATCACCAGAACCGTGTGTGGAGAAGATATGGAAAATGCTTTCTTTCTGCTTTTCAAAGACAGTCGGTTATGGCATAGTGTAGAATCGACGTCCATGCCCGTATCGAACTGATTATCATATAAAATGTATCTGTGACTGCAAAGAGAAAATTCTCCTGGAAACTATGTTAACTTCATGTTAATACATGACAATGCTTGACCGCATGTAGCCCGAATTGTCAGCCATTAATTGGAGGATGAAGTGATTATCACAGTGAATTGCCCAGCACATTCACCTGACATGAATCCCACAGAACACTTATGGGACATGATAAAGAGACGGGTTAGACATTATTTGCCGCTTCCAACAAGTGTTGAACAACTTCAAACCACTCTTGTTAAACAATGTGATCCTATTTCACAAGACTGAATCCAATCGCTTATTCGCTCTATGTCTAGGAGACTTAAGGCTCTCCATGAGGCCAGAGGAAGTAAAACGCATTATTAAGAGCAAAACTAGGTAATAAATAGAATTTTAATCTTTTATTAAATGTTTCTTTCAAAACATCATAATTAAATATATTATAATTAATTAAGGTTTTTAGTTGAGATAAAAAAGTCAATAGCACGAGCGGGATTCGAACCCACGATCTTCGAGTTGATACGCCGCTGCTCTACCACTTGAGCTATCGTGTCTTCGATCCATTCGGACATCAACTTCCCATCTCAACCGCACCTTTTTGAATTTTCCCTCCTTTTTGCCATTTTTCAAATGTCGTGTAATCGGATTGGATTCTCGATGACAAGTGGAATGGCCACGGAGAGCTTTAGTGAAGTATACTTCATTCCAAATCATTAAATTCGCTAATTTCGTGGTCCGCTTGACCAATTAATATATTATAATTAATTAAGGTTTTTAGTTGAGATAAAAATGGCAAAAAGGAGGGAAAATTTAAGGGTTATTTGGAAATCAAAAAGCGTTAATTTGAAATTATAAAAGGTTAACATGAAGTTAAAAAGGGTTAATTGGCCGGAGAAAGCTACAAAATGAATATGTTAAATGTTGGAATGAAATAATTAATTAAGGTTTTTAGTTGAGATAAAAAAGTCAATGGCACGAGCGGGATTCGAACCCACGATCTTCGGCTAGATATGCCGGTGCTCTACCACTTGAGCTATCGTGGCTTCTATACACTAACTTCCCATCTCAAACGCACCTTTGAATTTTCCCTCCTTTTTGCCATTTTTCCGCTCGTGCCATTGACTTTTTTATCTCAACTAAAAACCTTAATTAATTATAATATATTAATTGGTCAAGCGGACCACGAAATTAGTAAATTTAATGAGTTGGAATGAAAGTTCAATTTTTAGTTATTAATTTATATTGATTTCTGTTAATTTATTTTTTTCTGGAAGTCTTTTCAGAGGATCTTCGGAAGAGGTGAAAACAGAGAAAACTTCCTTACGGTTTTCGCCGGGCTTTCGACGGTTTTATACTGTCATCTTCAGGGCTTTAAACCTTAATAGGGAATTAAACAACATGGTGTTTTGGGCACAGAAGTACATTATGTTTTTTGGGGCTCAGCATCTCATATAAGTCTAAAAAACCAATAAAATCCTCCTTTTTTAGTTTTTCAGGTACATGTGATCACAGTGCGTTTCTTAAATATATATACGTATACAATTAACTTATTTTAANGTTGAGAATCGGACCATGGACAATATGAACTTTTTTGTTCATTTTAGGGTGAAGAATCTACTGGAGAAGTTTGTAGCACGAGTAGCAATTCACCCTGTATAGTATGAAATAAACCAAAAAAATATGTGTTGTTTCAATTCAAAAGTGTCCGGTTTTTTGTCTTTGAGTGTATGTTTATATACAAAAATACTAACTTGAACTCGTATTGGTTTCCTCCATGAATTTCTGAGGAACAATTTAACTTGTTTTGGAGGATCTTCAGTGCCTCCGATTCCAAAGTCAATTAGATTATCAGAAGAATACAAACCGCAGGTAGGGCCTACTTCAACATCTACTGGTATAACTAACGTTTCATCACTGTTATCTACTTTCAGCCTAAAAAAAGAAATGTTTTAGTTATTATCCATTTTTCTGCCAGTTAATTTAATCATAAATAAATAGCAATAAATTATTGTGTGTAAAACCAAGATTTAGATTGTTCACTTTTTTTAATTATTAAAAATAAGCAAAAAATTATAGATTGATAATATTTTCCAAATAAAAGTTAAAGATTGATTTAAGTTAGTAATTTTAAAAAAATATTTGCAACTAAAATTACGCTTAGAGTGACTACAACTTTGGCTTTTTTGAATATAGTATGTATGTATATATTTTATTTAATAAACAGTATTCATTCATAACATAGGACAGTACAAAAATAAAATTCAATTACCTTATATAAGCTGTATAATTTTTTTGACTAGTAGCATGGAACTTAAGCCTAATAATTGGCTTGGTCAAAAATGCTGGAATGTTCCAAATCTGTTTTGGCCCTTCCAGTTCTCCAGAAGGAAGCTCTAGATGGAAATCCCCTCCACTCGAGTAAACTTCTACCAACTGATAAAAATTTTATTTTATTATAAGTTTTAATTTAAAATAATTCATATCCAACCTGTAAGGATGAAGCATATGGGTTGTGCATAACAATAAGGGGTGAGTAAGATGCATTCAAAGGTAGCCGAACCCCAGAAATCGGCCTTAGACGATAAGGACTGACAACACCTTCACCTTTAACCTTAAATGACACAATAAAACGTTTTAATGTTCTACCAAATTGTACATATATAAAATTATTTACCAAATATTTAAAGCTTCCTTCTGAAGTGTGAATGTACAAGTTACTCTCTATTTCTCCCTCCCCTCGGCCCAAAAAAACAATATTAAATGATGTGTTGCCAAGAGGAGGGATCAACTAAAAAAAAAAAGTTTAGAGTAACATTGCAATAAATTAATAAAAAAGTACATACTTTATCTTGGAAAAAGGAACTGTGAAAATGAATTGTGTTGCCTGAAATCGATGAGAGATGTACAGTTTTGTTGAAGCTTGTATTGACTATAGTAACCTTTTCATGATGCGGTATACCCAAAAATCTGGAAAATATTATTATGAATTAATAATTTGAATATTATCTGGATATTATAATGGATTAATTTGAAATTCAATTTTTTAATTTATCATTATTAGCTTGTAAACGCAAAATAATCAAAAGCTCTGGGACCTTTTGTGCATTTCAGAATATACAATGACAATTAATTAAGGTTTTTAGTTGAGACAAAAAAGGAGGTCACGATAGCTCAAGTGGTAGAGCAGCGGCATATCTAGCCGAAGATCGTGGGTTCGAATCCCGCTCGTGCCATTAACTTTTTTTCGTCTCAACTAAAAACCTTAATTAATTGTCATGAATTAATTGGTCAAGCGGACCACGAAAGTAGTGAATTAAGAATATACAATGTATAATACAAATACTTTGTGAGATTCTTGTCTCCGTGTAAAGAGCATGTAGGAATGCCTCCAGATATGGGATATGCTTGGAAGGGAGTATTTGGATCCCCTGTTCCAATTTTTAGAGGAAATAGGACTGTTTTACTAATACTTAATAGATATCTTGTCTTGTGTTTCTTTATATATGTTGAGACTGAATGTACTTATCAGCATAAATGTCTAGTGTTAGAGGGCCAAAGGTGGAATATTGAGTGCCCCATCCACCCTAAATTTATACATAGGTGAAAGGGGTGATGGAGGAATGTCGAGTACTCCACCACCATGACTGAGTGAATGGTATGTAAATAGAATGTATTTAAGAGTGAGTGAGAGTGTGAATGGGTTTAGCAACTGCATTCATTTGGTGCTGAAATGGACCTAGCTGTTGATAGCCTCTGGAGCCTAACCTTGGTGGCTGAATGGATATAAGGACTGACCCCAGACTGCCAACCCCCTATGTATTGATTCTTGAGGCCTGCCAGTAATTTATAGTAAATTACAAAAGCTTGAATTGTTGGTGCAATGCAAGAATTGCAAGCACCCATTTTTTTTGTATGTACATCTGTTCGTGCAATCTGTGTGCAGAGTTTGGCTCATATCAGTATGAGATTTCTTCTTAAAGTCTGTCAGCCTAGTCATTTCTTATCATTTTATCCATAGCTAATTTTATCACCACAATTTTACAAATTAAGTATGCCTTAAAATGACTGAATTAAGTAGGATGTGTTGTATACATACAATACGTGATTAGCACCTAATAATAAACAATGATATAAAAAGTCTCACCTTTCTTTGAAATCCAGTATCGGAGGGTAAAATTTTAAATTTACTTTCGAACCATAAAGGGACTCATCCATAACACTTTGAAGTCTGGAAATATTGAATAAATTTGAAAAATTAATTCTCATAAATAAACAGTGATTGGATTAACTATCAGTAATAGGATAACTTACTTGAAATCCGGGCCTCCGGTAAATTCCTAAAATTAAAAAACAAATTAAAATCTTAATTGTTAATATCATATTCTTCAGAGTATAATAGAAATGGTAAAGTATTTGTTTTTAAGCAGCACTCTTTGAATGGTTCAGCCCTGAAAAATTTCTGAACAAAATTACACCTATATAGTTGAAATTTGTTCATAGCACGATTTCTGAATAATCATTACACCTATAGTTAAACCGATAGATTCATCATTTCTGATCATTTTGGACTGCCTATCCTTGCTGATTTTGTCTGTCTGACTCATCTCGACATTTTGCCACATTTTTTAAATTTGTAATTCCAACTTGGGACCTTTACCTTAACGTGGCTTCAGACATGTGGGATTCGTCGAATGCTGAGAAAAGGTTCACCGAATCCTGACAAGTGGAAATGGGTGCTCGGTCACCCACCGAGCAACAATAGTCACTATAGTCACAATAGTCTTGCATTGCTAGTTGTCCGTTTCGCGTCCACTTCAAAGTGCACATATATTCACTGTTCCAAACCCTGCATGTGTGTACACATAGGCACACTACTTCGCACATGCCAAGCCGAGCATCTTAACACTTAGCAAATGTTCGACATTCAAAGAATCCTGCATTTCTGGAACCACTTTTACAGTGCTGAACGCCATGTCAATCATTCTTCTAAAACCTTGTGTTGAGATTCTTGAAAGTGATGAACCATCCAATGAAGTTAACATCCCTCACATTGTGTGCCAGCGTTGGCCGGTTTACTAAACCGTGTGTCCTGCGACAGTGCTGGCCATAGTGTTAATGACCAGGAGAAAATATAATTAGTTATGTATTGTCGCATTTGAGGCCTAGCCAACTTTGCCCAGGGTCTAGTTTTCTACAAACCACAGTGAGAGGGAGTGAAGAGTGAGAAATCAATCAAATAGAGGGTGTGAAAACACAAGTCAATATTAGTTGATGGTTCTGAGTTATCAATGTAACAAATATAACCATCTATGGCTTTAATGACTACTTCCATCCTTTTTGGCATGCTCATAAAATATTTTTTTAGAAAAATCCTGCGCTAAATTGTCCCATTCCTCCAATACAGCTGTCTATAGCATTTCAAGGGCTGTAGGAGGTGGATCCCTTGACCAAACCTTTCTTTTGAGATGGTCCCAAATGTGTTCAATTAGGTTAAGGTAAAAGTTAAGGTCAGGGATCTTGCTGAGGATTTAGTTAGATATGGCAACATATGTTGCCTTATGTAGCTGAGCATTATCATGCATAAACCAAGATTTAGAGCCTTAAAAAGGCATAAAAGGAACTCTATGATCTTGTAGGATCATCTCACTGTTCGAGTACCAAACCTTGAATTGGTACCAACTTGGTACGTGCCTCCCAAGAAATGCTATTTCAGAACATGACGGACCATCCTCTAAACGTTTACTATTTCCATGTACAGAAGAGTCCGTATTGTTCACCAGGTCTTCTCCAGACGCTTTCATGGCCATATGGACTGTTAAAGACAACTCTCATCACAGTGGTGAATAAGACATTTTTCCATGCCTCCATAGACCAGTATTGGTGTTTTCTTACACATCAAAATTTCAAAAGTGTACTGTGACAAGGAGTCTTTTCAAGGGCCTTCTTTATCTAAGGTTTGACTCTGACATTGATATCCACCGAAAATCAGCAATCAAGTTTCTGTACCAGAAGCTGTTGAAGTGCACTTCCAGATTGCTTGCATTTTAACATAACGGTCATCTATAGGCGATTCTGGTACAATCTGAATTTGGTCACCTCAAGTGCCTCCCACTCTCCCTGTACTTTTTAATGGTCATTGAAACTGACAAATAATGAATGCCAAGGTAATGCAGAAAAGATGAAGTTGGAGTGAATATGTTTATTCACCTTTTCAAAAAATAATTCCAGAAGAACTTTCTTTTGAAAAAGGGCTAATAAAACTGTAAAAACTGACTGAAAGGAACATTGAGATTCAAAGAAAAACTTTGACCCTTCTTTTGTTAGTAAACAGTTAATAATAATAATTTGACTATCATGTTAAAAATAATATTATTACAAATATAAATAAAATGTGGGTTAAGGTGAAAAACTAAAAAATATCTAGATTTAAAGGTGTTGCTATATTTTTGACTGGGAGTATAATTTAAATAATGTTTAATGCAGTTTATGGTGGATCAGCAAAACAAAATTTATTTATCTTATTGTTTTCAGGGTTGTTTAAGCACAGAAAAATTGTTTATGTTTCAACAAAAAAACATGCCCATATAAAACGAAGGAGGAAAATGTGTATTTTGCAATGGTCAAATATACATAACATCTTTAATTTTTTTCAATACAATATTCATCATTATAATTAAGATAGAGAACGATAAGCTGGAGATAAAAGATTCTCATTAAAAAAAAAAATAGTGGTGGGAGAATAAGTCAATGACTTATTCATCAAAAATAATTTCTAAAACTTTTCGTTTCTACTAGACAAAAAATATTATCTGGAGCTGGTTGCGTCGACCTGTACTTCTTTTATCGGTTACAAAGTAATAAAAACCGTGACAAGGAATTCGCAGAAATATTTCAAATAAATCTAAAGAAACCAATCAGAGAGATTGTACTATCACGTATAAATCATACTTTTTTTACTTTTATTTTCTATTTTTAAGACTAGGTGACTAACTTGAGAAATTTTCTTCTTAAGTGCAAATCACTAATTTTGGATGAATCACTAATCTGATAAATGAAACATTCTACCAAAAACAATTTTTAAATGTTTTTGAAAAAATTCTGCGAAACATTTGTTCAATCTTTTGTTCGACATTAAATTTAAAATTAAATTAGTTAAATTTAAATTTAAATTATTTTTTAAAAAAATGACAGCTACTTGTTTATATCTCAAAAATTGTAATATGTCCCAAACGTGTGAAATTACAAATTCTGTGATAGGTGGAATATTTGAGACTTTCAGGGTGAAATTCGATCTTGGTTAGGGATGGTTTCAAATAATTCATTGGCAGTGATCAGACACATTAAACAAAAGTTTAAGTACTAAAGAGAAAAATTCTCTACTCAAATGCCAAATCACTAATTTTGGACGAATAACAGATAGATGAAAACATTCTACGACCAAACTATTTTGAAAATTCATACATGTTTAGCAGTCATAATTTACCATATTAATTATTCTTTTTAACTAGTCTTGGTCAAGATGAAAAAGTCAGTGTCACGAGCGGGATTCGAACCCATGACCTTCGGTTAAATAAACAACCTTTTCTTCAGTGTTTAAATTAAAAACAATAAGAGATAGTGGTTTATACATCCAAAATTGTAACATCAATACAACGATGTGTGAAATTTCAAATTCTACAATATGGTCAAAATTTGAGACTTTCAAGGTGAAAATGTATTTTCACAATATGCACTATCGATTAATGTCAAAATTTCATGGATTTATGAAACATATTGTTACATGTTAGATAATACCCGATCATCTCATCATTGAACAATATCATTTGTACAATTGTAAAATTATTGCATATAAATCATACTTTTTTCTGTTTTGTAGTTGTTTGTAAGACAGGATGACTAGCCCGACGAATTTACCTCTAAAATCACTAAGTTTGGATTAATATCTAGTTTGACATATGAAAAAATTCTACAACAAATTTTTTTTTTAAATCTTTCCGGGTCACTCATTCGGGCAACCTTTTGTTCATACATGTTTAGCAGTCATAATTTACCATATTAATTATTCTTTTTAACTAAGGTCTTGGTCGAGATGAAAAAGTCAGTGTCACAAGCGGGATTCAAACCCATGACCTTCGGTTAAATAAACAACCTTTTTTTCAGTGTTTAAACTAAAAATAATGACATCTAGCTATTTAATGTTTGAAACTGTAATGTCAGTGTATAAACCTACATTTGGAATATCAAACTCTATGACAGGCAGAAAATTTGAAACTTTCAGGCTGAAACATGATTTTCGCAATGGCACTACCAATCAATGATTAACTTTCATGAATTTATGAAACATTGTTACAACATGACTATGTGAGATATGACCTACCGCCTAATCTTTGAACAATATCATTGGTATAATTGTTAAATTATTGCATCCAAATCATACCTTTTTTTTTCTGTTTTGCTGTTGTTTGTAAGACAGGATGACTAACCTGAGGAATTTAGGAATTTACCTCCAAAATCACTAATTTTGGATTAATCTCTAGTTTGACGTATGAAAAAATTATATGATAAAAGTTTTTGGGAAATCTTTCTGGGTCACTAGTCCGGGCAATCTTTAGTTCAACATTGAAATTAAAATTAATCACGGTTATTTGTTTAAATGTAAATTAAATTAAATTGTAATGCAATGTACAAATGTACATATGGAACCTCAAACTCTATGAATGGCTGAAAAGTTGAAAGTTTCAGGGTGAAACTTGATTTTTGCAATATGCACTACCAATCAATGTTAAACTTTCATGAATTTATGAAACATATCGTTACAACATGACAAGATGAGATACGACCCGCCCACCTCATCGTTGAACAATATCATTTCTATAAATGTTAAATTATTGCATATAAATCATACTTATTTTCTGTTTTGTTGTTGTTCGTAAGACAGGATGACTAACCGGAGTAATTTATTTGACATTTGAAAAAATTATACGATAAAAGTTTTAGAAAATCTTTCCAAATCACTTGTTCGGGCAATCTTTTGTTCAGCATTGAAATTTAAAAACACTGACAGCTAGTTGTTTAAACGTTCAAAATTGTAATGTCAGTGTACAAACCTACATGTAGAATATCAAACTCTACGACAAGCTGAAAATTTGAAACTTTCAGGGTGAAACTTGATTTTCGCTATATGCACTACCAATCAATGTTAAGCTTTCATGAATTTATGAAACGTATTACTACAACATGACTAGATGAGATATGACCCGACCACCTCATCGTTTAACAATATCATTTGTATAAACGCTAAATGCATTTTTTACATGCATTTAAAGGTCTTTTTTCCATTACTTAGTAAGACAAAAATATCTATAAAAGTACAAAAATAAATGTGTTTTAACTTTACCTTCGGCATTTGGACCGGAATGTTTTCAACGAGGTATCGCACATCTTCACTCGCCGAATAAAAAGCTGAAATTAAACAAGAAACCGTGAGATGTTTACAAGAGACAACTTTGGAAAATAGTAAATAATAGTTTTCAAAAAAAAACTGCGCCTACGACTCACAATTAGGGTTGGAAGATAAAAACGATTGATGTGGTAGAGCTAATAACACTAAAATTGAAGCATAACAACAAATAAACTTAAATGTCATCTCTTTATTTGAACGAATTGTTTAGGGCTCAGTTGTTCCCATGTTAGAACAACAAAAACTTCTTATCATACACACAACACTTCGCCTCCTTCTATTGATTTTCTCAGCTGAGAGAGTGCTTAGTTAATAAATTTCACCACAGCCTTCTTGATATTCAACAGGATGAGATTTTTTATTTAAATTTAAACTAATTTGCTAATTTTCATATTTAATCAATTATAAATAAGAATTTTTTTAATGATTACAGATTGTAAACATCAAAAGTTGTCTATTTTGAAGGACTTCATCGCCACAGGGTTTATACGACAATGACGTCATGGACAGTAATTAAACGCCACTCTTTTCACCGATTTTTATATAGCTTTTTTCCATCAAATTAACATTTCTAACTTCAAAGTAAATTTTTACTTACAAATTAACCCTTTTTTGGTTCAAACTGACAATTTTTAATTTAAAATTTACCATTTTTACCTAAAATTAACGATTTAAAATTTCATGTTTTCTATTTTCAAATACATATTAACGATTTTGATTTCAAATCAAAACATATCAACAACGATGATTAATTAGAAATTAATCTTTTTTAGTTCAAATTGAAATTTTTTATTTAAAATCAACCATTTTTTTAGTTCAAATTAACGATTATAAATTTAAAATTAATTATTTTTAACATCAAATTAACCTTTTTTTTAATTACAAAGTAACGCTTTTTTTCGTTCAAAGTGACCATTTTTATTAAAATTAACCACTTTTTTTTAGTTCAAATAAACTATTTTAAATTTCAAATTTACTATTTTTAACTTCAAATTAACCTGTTTTAATTTCAAACATTTTTGACTTTTAAGAAACTTTTTTACTTCAAATTAACTTTTTTTCAATTGCAAAATCACTCTTTTTAGTTCAAATTGGCAAATTTTAATTTAAAATTAATCATTTGTTTATTTCAAATTCACTGTTTTATACTTCAAATTAACCTTTTGTAATTAAAAATTAACTTCTTTTTTTAGTTCACTTTGGCAATTTTTAATTTAAACAATTGTATTGTTCAAATTAACCATTTTAAATTTCAAATTTACTATTTTTAACTTCAAATTAACTTTTTATAACTTCAAGTTAACTTTTTTTTGAATAATGAATAAATGAATCCTTTTTCTGTTCAAATAGCCTTTTTTGAGTTTAAAATTTGCCTTTCAACTTCAAAAAGCACCTGTTTTTATGCTAAATTAATCATTTTTAATTTCAAATTTACTATTTTTCACTTGAAAGTAACCGTTTTTAATTTCCAAATGAACCATTTTGGAACAGCCAAAAAGTTGTTCTTGCTCCATATAACCTCTGAAGAAGATCTTATCACCCAAACTGACCTTTACCCTTTCTACGTTCAAATTTACTTTTTTAAATTTCATATTAACCCTTTTTTAATTTAGAATTTACCTTTTCAATTTCAAATTAACCCTTTTGTAACTTCAAAGTAACCTATTTTAATATCAAACTAACCATTTTTAACTACAAAATACCCTTTTTTAATTTGAAATGTACTATTTTTAACTTTAATTTTACAATTTTTACTTCAAGTGAATCTGTTTTAACTCTAAATTTACTGTTGTAAACTTCAAAATAACATTTTTTAATTACAAATTAACAATTTTTAATCTAAAAATGAACATTTTTTCAACTTATAATTAATTATTTTTTATCTAAAATTAACCGGTTTTTAGTTCAAATTAACCATTTTTAATTTCATATTAATCTTTTTTTAAATTTAAAAGTAAATCTTTTAATTTCAAATTAAACTTTTTTAATTTTAAAAGAACCCATTTTCATTTTAAATTAAACGTTTTGTTTTCAATTTAACCCTTTTTAGTTCAAATTATTCCTTTTTAATAAAAAAATTAACTATTCTTAATTTCAAATGCATTTTTTAAAGGAGTAACAACCACATAAAAATTAATTACAATTAAATTTATTTTTTATAAAATTAAATATTGAATTTATTGCTTTATTTTTATTTATTGTTTTATATTTATTTATTGTTTTATTAATTAAATACTGAAACTTATTGTTCTTCTTTATTCTTATTATTTATTATTAAAACATTCAGGTCTTTCGAAATTTTAAATTGTCTGAAAAGAAGATGCAATGTTCAAATTAAACGATATGAGAATCATCTCATAACAATTGATGTTTCAGTAGAAATGCAAATATTTCACAAACTGATAGATTTTTGCAATTCTTTATTTTTGTAGAACATTATAATCTAAATTTTTATAAATAACGCCAATTCATTCGATCTTTGTTACATTATCGATATGTTAAAAGAATCGAATCTTACGCTTATCACACTTTGCCCGAACCGATAACAAAACCTCCAGGCATGTTTACAAAATCACATGTGATAGAAAATAACGTTGATCATCTGGACGTGTGTTTTGATTGAAAAATGCACAGTTTAGCGAATAAGTTCGTCAGAATAATAAAAATACGTGCCAATTTGTCAATAGTTAGGTGCATCAACCATTCAAGATCTTCTGGCGGACAAGAAAAAATCAGAAACATCGGCATTCTAGCTCACATAGATGCTGGTAAAGTGCTTAGGAAAAAACTAATATTAGCCATTTCACCTTATGGTTTTTTGGAAATGTACATTTTGTAGAAGTTTTTCCTTGCAAAATTGCTGGAAGGAAATTTAAAAATGTACTACTGCTTTGAAGCGATTTATATTAAATTCCTGTTCACCAACACACTGTTATTTCTCTAAGATAGACGCACGCTTTTTTTTTCATTGAACTGTCTTAATTTTATTTATTGAAACATAATTTGTAGTACTGAGCTTTTAGTATATTTTGGTCTGCTTATCCCCCGGCTGTTTTGGTATCAGATGCATTTCAGATTCTTCGCCATCTTCTTTTTTTAAAATTTTTGTATATTAATAGTAACTTATTCTGGCTAGCTGTATTAAATTGGGAGCTATCTCTTTGTGATCTGCAGGGTGATAAACCTAAAATTTGGTCATTATTGATCAGTTTGGTCAACTCTTGATGTTTCGGCCTGTTAGGTGCATTTTGTCTCCCCACCATCTTTATTTTTTTTTATATATCCTATTGTTTGGTCATTACTGATCATTTTGGTCTGCCTAGATCTTAACTTGTATCTGAAAAATAATTCAAGGCTCCTGAATATTGAATATGGTATAGCCATGTACTAAAAACATTATCCCTAAGGTATATACAAAAAAAGTAAGATGGCGAGAATTTGAAACACATCTGACAGACAGTCAAGTATTGGCTCATCAAACTGATCAGCATGGTTAAGTTACTATTAAAAAAAAGCCAAGGGTGAGGTGCGAAAGATGTCTGACAGACCAAAACAGCAAGGATAGGCAGGCCAAAATTATCGGTAAAAACCCAAGTATAGGTACATCACCTTGCAGGCAAGGAGAATTTTTATAATTACAAGCTATGCTATTTCTTCTATATAATTCTTTCTATTTCAAGTATTACAGTAAATATTGTCAATAATGCATTATTTGGTCAATTACCAAAATTAAAATTTATATATATTCTGAATCTTGATGAAAAAGCTATTTTAGTTGTTACTGCCAACTCACAACTTGGCAATGTTGAACTTTAAATTCGACTGTGGAAAATTTAATTATGTCAATTTGTAGACAGATTTAAGATTGTTTTGCTCTGATAATAACTTTAAAATAGGTCGAAACCTTGGCAGTAACAACTGAATTTGCTTTTTCATCAAGACCATACCGTGATGCACAGCAGTGGTGTGTAGAAAAGTGGCTGATATATCTAACACTTAAAATTAAAATTGTTTGATAATAAAACTAGTAGGAACCAGCTGCTCCTAATGAAAGATTTTATAGAGCATTACACAATTTTTAACCAACCTGCCCTGGTATTATAAAATGCTTAACATCAAATTAAATACCAATTTAAGTGAAAGTATGATAAATTACAGTAATTTTGATACGATGGTTTATTTATCAGGTAAAACCACTACAACAGAGCGGATGCTGTACTTCTCTGGTCGTATACCCACAATGGGCGAAGTTCATGATGGCAACACAGTAACAGACTATCTGGCACAAGAAAGAGATAGAGGTATACCACAAATATTGTATTATAAATTTATGCACTTGAATTTTTTTTTAAATGTCGACCGTGGGCACGTCCGACTGTATAGGGTGGGGAATTGATTTAAACTTTGAGTAGTGTTGCTGGGGTAGTTTTGAATCCGAGGGCTTGTTTTTTATTATATCTTGCAGAGCAAAATTATAGCCCTATTCTATTCTAATGGACAGGTGGACATCCATGGCCAAGCTTAAAAAAAATTCTTGGATACAAAACTACTCCAAGCGACACCATTCATGTTTTTTTTTAAACAATTTTATTGAGAAGGTTCCTTCTCAAAGGTTAATAGTTTAAAATAGCAATGGTAAGTCAAAACCCATACTAGGAAAGAAGGAGGGGATGTCGACATAACAAGAGTTTGTTATATTGTTTTTAAGGTATCACAATTACGTCTGCCTTTGTGGATTTAAAGTGGAGGGGTCATACAATTAATCTTGTCGATACGCCTGGGCACATTGACTTCACTATGGAAGTCGAACATGCTTTGAATGTTATCGATTCAGCCATAATTATTTTGGACTCAACAGCAGGTTCATTATTATAAATTTTTCAATTCTAACATTGTGCATTATGGTTTTTAATTTTTTGTCGAAAGGTGTCGAGGCACAAACTGTTACCGTTTGGAGGCAAGCCCAGGCCCAGCGATTGCCTTGTTTATTGTATATAAATAAAATGGATAGACCAAGTGCAAATGTCGATTTATGTTTGCAAACTTTACAGACAAAATTATTATGCAAGCCATTCCTTCTTCATATTCCGATTATAGGTTTGATTTGCACTTCTATATAAATTGTAAAATATTAGATAATTTGGCACTGAATATTTAATTTTTAGGAAAAATGGGATTCGAAGGTATAATCGATTTACCTTCTTTTGAAAAAATTATCTGGGCTAAAAATGGCAAGGAAAAAGAGAGGCAGCTATTGAATAAGACAGATGGTCAATATGACTTTGCTTTAGAGGCCAGGCTGGAATTGATTGATAGGTTATCTTCAATAGATGATAAACTAGCAGATTCAATATTGGAAGCAGGTTCTTTAGAAACAGTTACCAAAGATGAATTAACTGCCGCAATAAAACGAATTACAAACCAAAGGGTAAAATATACTCTATTTTAAAGTTAAAACAAGTTCTGTATTAAAATATTTTTTAGAAAGGAGTTCCAGTAATTTGTGGTAGTTCTTACAAAAACATCGGAATTGAAACGATGCTAGATTCTGTTATAGACTATTTACCATCACCAGTAGATTCTTCCAGTGTTTTCTGCCCCTCGAATATAAGTAAAGAAACACTAGCACGGTCATTTAAAATTATACACGATAAACAAAGAGGGGCTATAGTTTTCTTTAGAGTATATTCGGGTGAGTTGCAGAAGGTTGGTAATTGAAAATTGAATATAACATGCATTGCAAATTCAGTAAACATTTTAAAAATGTTAGGGACAAAAAATTTACAATGTGAGTAAGAAGATGCAAGAACATATTGGAAAGATACTTGTACCATTTGCTGACGATTTTGAAGAGATACCTGTAGCTAGTGCTGGTCAATTTGTAGCTGTCACTGGAGTTAAAGTTAGTTAATTTTTTAAAAATTAATTCAGTTTAGCAAAATATAAAAACACTTTTTCAGGATGTATTGACTGGTGATTTTATATCTACATCACAAAGCAGTTTGAAAAAAATTCAAGATAGTTTAGAAAAGAATAATTCCTTGACAAAGGAAGAAGCAGAGAGACTTCTAGATAGCAGGCATAATATTCCTGAACCTGTATTCTTTTGTTCAATAGAACCACCATCTCAGGTAATTATAAACTTTGAGACCTTACCTCTGCTAGGAATGTGAATGTATGGCTGAGATGAATGTATCTGACCTGGAGTCCTGGGGTCTCAGTTTATGTTTGTTATGTGCTCTAAAGAACAAATCTCAGCCCCCATTGTTTATGTTTGTGATCTGGAGTCAATTCTTGATAACAATGTTAAAGTGATTCAATATGTCGATGATATTTGCCTTTATGCAGAAGCCCAAGAGCTGGCCGATTGCATTCAAATTCTAAGCATGACAATAGAGATGTTTTGATTTAGTCTTTGAAAAATGGAACAATAATCAGCCCTGAAATACCAATTATGTCCGTTGAAGTTGCATTTGTCTAGGTAGCTGTGAGGAATTAGTGGCATTCAGTTTTCGGTAGTTCAGATGTGAAATTTTTGGGACTTATTTTGGTTCATAAGCTGTCATGGTCAAATCACATCAAATGTCTTCTTGAAAGGTGCAAAAAACTCTTATTATCTTAATATGTATTAAGAAGTTTCAACAGTAGCAAATGGGGTGCTGACCCAGTTACAGGTCTCCTATTTTACAGATCAGCGATTAGTTCAGTAGTAGATTATGGATCGGTTTTTATGATCATGCCCCCAATTCTACTGTCAAACTACCTTCCAAAATAAATGTATAATGCGTGTACTTGGCTGTCTTCCTAGTACCCCTCTTCCAGCGTTGTATGTTGAACCTGTGAGCTCCCATTTAATGTTAGACATGAAAAACCCACATTAAATTGTTTAACCAAATCATTCTCCAAAAATGGTCCATTATTTACAAATTTATCTTTCTTAACCTAAAAAGTCCTCATAGAACGGTATTGGCAAAAGAAAAAAGTCCCACATATGATAGAATCCTTTTCCTGAAATATATTCTGTACCTTGTAGTGGAAACCTACGGTATGGTACTCGTTGGGTCACTACGGGTTCTGGAATGTTCTTGCCCTCCACTCTGCAGTGAATTAGAGCAGAACCAGTGCTCATATAAGCAGGGGCACTGCTCCACTGGCTGAGACTCGTCAACCCGACGAGGTCTCACCAATCACTAATCAACAACGACAGCAGACTCATTTCTCTCACGAGTTCTAGCTTATCACTAATGAAGCACCTACGACGATGGCAAAGGTACTCTCAACATTAGCCTCGAACTCGCCTTCTCAACATAGCCAACTTGGCTAAAGGGAAACTGCTGCATTCGGCCAACTGCTGCACCAGAGTCCCTTCAACCGATGTAGAGTCAGATGACTCACGGCCCCGGACCTCAGCAATCTGCTCTCTCTACTAATAGGCACACACACTCGATCCTGGCTTCGAAACATCGTCTCAATGTTGTGCTTCCCAACAACACCGGCCCTTGTTAGGGCCACCAAAAAACTCTAAAAATTCAGTTAACCCAATATTCAGTCTTGATTATCAAACAATTAGCAAAAATTCAGTGCTATGAACTTACAGACTATACCAATACCCTCATAATTTAATCGATGTATTATGCAGAGTGGATATATTTGAAAATTTTCCCAATTTCCACCTTATCTTTACAGATGGATCGAGGAGAAATGGAGACATGGGGTGTGCTTTTTATGACCCCCCCCCTCTTCAAATAGAATTTAAGGAACAATACTTCTTCCAAGTTTATGTAGCATATGCATGGCTGAAATAATAGCTATTGCAAAAGCTCTAGAATATGTGGCGGGTATCGACTATGCAAAAATCTGCATACTATCCTGCCTCAATTTTATTAAATTGTTAATGAAAACATAGACTTGCAGAACTTTTTCTCTGATACAGGCCATATTATACTCTGGGTCACATGCCTTGTGTTGTGAACCATATGTGGTAAGACCTCAGAGGATATGGACTCCCGGTACTTGCTGACTAGATTGTGTACACCTCAGATGGGGAGACCTCACCCCATGAGACTTGGATGAAGCAGTTGTTTACAAAACCATGGAACAGAGTTAGACCCCCAGACACTAGCTGGCTATGTGTTAGGTGTTGTGCAACAATATACAGTTGTGTGTAAGTTGATAGCCTATAGCTTTGTAATTAGAAAAGGATGTGTTTAAGAATGAGTGTGATTAAGTTAAAAACTGTGTTGAGGACTGAAATGATGTAACTGTTGATAGTACCAGATCCCAATGTTGGTAGGCAGAACAGATAAGATAGAGACCAATTCCAGACTGTAAACACTGATGTAACATAAAGTATCATTTTATAAGTTTTTATTGTGTTTTTTGTAGGCCTACCATCAGGCCTTGGAAAATGCATTAAACGAGCTGCAAAGGGAGGACCCCAGTCTGCGTGTCACTTTCGATGAGCATACTGGGCAAACCATACTTGCTGGTGACATTTCATATCTTGCTAACACATGCTGTTATGATTATAAATTGATTTATAATATTTTTTTTTTCTTTTAAAGGAATGGGTGAATTGCATTTAGAAGTTATAAAGGATCGTATCAAATCAAATTACAAAATTGATGCAGAGTTAGGAGTGATTCAAATTGTTTATAAGGAAGAGTTCTGTTCTACTGTAAAACATACTGTCACTCTAAAAAATGCACTTGGTGAGTACCAAAAAATAAATAATAGTAAAATAAAAATAAATAAATAACTTCACTCTACTCAGCCATTTTTTTTAAAACTAAAAGTCTAGTATTAACAGTTTTTGGCCAAGGGGAGTTCTAATAAAAAAACTATTCAAAGATTGGCAAGTTTAGTTTAGAAGTTATGACCTATGAAAACTCTACTATACTCAGTTTTATGTGATTGATGAACTTGCATTCAATGGCATTTTAAGAATGAAACAACTAAAAAAAGTACTTCCTATCATTCAGGAGGCTTTAACATCCAACTGGTACATTGGGTGACACGGGCAGGGGGTCAGAACCACTTAAAAATACTTTTTTCATATTATGATCAATTAAAATGATTCAAAGATTCAAACCCACTACTCAATCACTAGTATGGCAAACCTTAGAATCAAACGACCGTTTTTTATTGATTGTTTTAATAACTTTTCCTGCAATTTCAGTTACTTATTTTATTTCAATATTTTAGGTTCACACGAGCAAAATATTTTAATCACCATGTCTTTGAAACCAGGGGCTAGGAAAGAATTATTGCAATTGGACATGACAGGCGAGTCGGGTTCTAATTTGGCTCATTTATCACCGAAAGTTTTTAGAAAATTAAAAAATGGCATTATATCTTCCTTAACACGGGGACCATTATATTCAAGTGAGGTGGTGACAATTTTAACAATCCTATTTTATTGATAAACTAAAATAAACTACTTCCCTACTAATTGAAAAAATGAAAAAGGATTTGTTTCTTTTTAGGTAGTTAATGTTCATGTTATTTTACATTGGTTCGAGGCACATAGATGTACTCCTGAACCATTGATAGTCGCAGCAGCTGCTCAGTGCATCCAAGAGGTAAGTCAATTGATTTATATAACTAAAAATGGGAGGCTAAAGACATGGGAATACATATTTTAACAACACTCTGGGCTCTAGGAATCTATGTTTATTGTATCTAAGTTAATATATCCTTGCAGCAAGAAACAAACTGGATATTAGTTTTCTGCACTTTAAAACAACCCTGAATAAATTTTTGTTTGAAAATTACAAAAATGATCACGTTAAAACAACTTCACCAAGCCACATGAAACTTTACAGGGGCTTATAACCCTATAAACTGCACATGATGGTACAAAAAGGTTCTTTCTAAATACTTTAGGACCAGAGATTAAAAAAAAAATGTTTGAGGTGGTTTTATTGGTTTATTCTTTATTCGTCTCACTTTTAATGAAATAAAATCTTAATGTTCTTTATATCCTAAAAGAATTAAAGTTTAGCTTTTCAAAGATTGTATAAGCATGGATTTTCAATAAAGCCCAGAGAATTTATGAATTTTTAAGGGGAACATCAGAGAAACGTAAATTGCCCCTGACTAATCTAGCCCAAAAATGTCTATTGTTTTGTTTTCCATAAAAATTCGTAATTGAGGACTTTAAAAGGTAATTAAACCGAATCCGAATTTATTTTTTCAGTGCAAAAATTTCTGCTTCCTATACTGATACAGTTTCTTTTTATTTTTGTAACTTTTTATCTATCTATTCTCATTTAATGCAATCCTGTATGTTATTTTCTTATCTTAGGTTAAAAAAAATCTGCTTGTACATAATCACTTTGAAATACAAACACAACAATTTCTGAAAACCGCATTAAAAAGATTATTTAGATTACTTAATGTTTTTTCTCTCGTATAATATTTTTCTGCCTAGTATCAGCAGAAAAGTTCTATTGACATCAGCAACCCCATGTCTTTAGCCTCCCTTTCTCAGTGACAAAATTATTACACCATCAGATTTTTCTTCCTTTTGTAAGAAATATTAAAATTTACTGAACTTTTGTGAATTCAAATGGAATAATTTGAATTTATATGGGTTTTCAATTTAAAAAATTAATGGTCAGAAGGTCGTTGATAGGTCGTTAATAGAGCGAATATATGATAACTGGTATGATTATTTTTCAGATATTGAAGCAGGGTGAAGTTCGCTTGCTTGAACCTATTATGACATTAGTAATTACGCTCCCTTCAGATTATTGTAGCATGGTGTTATCTGATTTGTCAAAACGCCGAGGTATTATATCAGACATCTCAGATAAAACACATTACAAGGTACACTTTTGTATCTTTTTTCAAATTTATTTTATATGTATATGTTTTAAATATAAAGTACCAGTTTATTTTTTAATCTCCAGGAAATAAATTGTGAAGCACCACTTTCTGGATTACTCGGTTATGCCAAGGAATTGAGAACGATGACGTCTGGCACAGCTAATCTTTCGATGGAATTCTCGTGTTACCGCCTTGTGCCGGCTGATGAGGCAGAAAAGATAATCACAGGAACCAATACAATCAAAAGTTACATGTGACATGTAATTTCCAGTGAATAATTTTGTTCAATATGTAAATAGATAATTGTTATGAAATTCAAATATAATTGCTAAACGTTTAAATAATCTTGAAGCGCTTTTTGTGCAGTGTTTGAATTGTTGATCAATAAGTTTGTTAAAAACAATTTTTTACTTAAAAATGCAAGACTTGACATTTTAATAATTTTTTACTGAGGTCTTCATCATTGGTAAATTATTTATATTCCTTTATCATTGAATTTTCTTGAAACCTTTGATTTTCCTTCTGTTTTCTTTAGAATGTTAAACATTCTGGCTTCTGAACACTAATATATATGCAGGTTGATGAACCCTGATTCTTATGGATCATTTTGGTCCTCAGGGTTGGCTGTCAGATGCACTTTGGCATTTTGCCGTCTTCAATGTATCTACAGTTACAGATTCACTGAAGATGGCGAAATGCTGAAAACATCTTATATTCCAATCCAGAAAGGACGGGCAGACCAAGAGGACCAGTAAGGCTCAAAGGACCACAGAGAAAATTGTACAATTTTAAACTGGTCACATGGATCATTATGGTAATGAGAAAGCTGATAAAATGGCCAAAGAAGCAACATATGTCTAATCCAAGAAACATTCTTATACCACTTTAGATTTTTCAAATATCGGTTAAAAAAGAACAAAAATTATTTTAAATCTTGTATTCAAGAGGAAACCATAAGAGGAGAGACATCTAAGCTTTGTGAAATGTGGAGATCTAGTGAGAGTAGCTAGGTGAGAAACCTAGCTACTGCCAGGGTCTAAATGCGTGCTCTACGCAACATACTGCCTACTATTTTCAAAATATGCAATAGTGACCATAGTGACAATAATGACTGTGTTTGCTGGCAAAGGAAGACAACTGCACATAGTAATCCATGTCTAATATGTAAGCCTGCTAAGCTTAAATCCTTTTCTCCTTTTAGCCCAATCATCACCTTGGGGCTCAAACTGCCTCATGATAGGCCCATTCATATCTGAGAATGGTTGTAAGGAGTAGAAAACTGACTTTTGATTTCAAAATAATAAGCTTATTTCATTACATAGTTTGAGAATCAAAGGTTCAAACAAGATTTAGTAATCTAAATTTTATACAATAGAAAACCAACTGCTCGTTCAGTGGGCCAGGCCTTTAGAGATAACTGGGCAATTGTACTCACCTGTCTAAGAATAGGCCATGTGTCAAATGGACACTTACTTTTGGGCCAAAGCCTGCATTTGAGGCATGTAGAGAATGGTTGCTTGACGTGTCTCACAAAAGTGAAGATGTAATACCTTCGTTCCATATAAAGTGTGTGTAGGAATGCAACCCAGTATGAGAATTGTGTTTGAGCACAGCAGTATTTGGATCTCTTGTTGATTTTTGGAGGAAACAGGATGCNTAAATAAAGGTTAATAATAGATGTATTTGTTTTAACTGTCTCGAAGGAATGTATTTATAAGTGTGAACGTGTAGTTTTCTAAACAAACTTGGATAACCATCTTCAAATGGAATTGGCAATGCCAGTGGGTCATGTCGACAGGGAAGCTCCTATGAATAAAGAGCTTGGTCCATAGGTGACCTTCAGAGATCTGAATTGTATATATGGGGGTCATCTGCACATGTTTTAGAATAGGCCATGTGAAGCTGAAGTATGGACACTTATTCTTGGGCCAAAGCCTACATATGTGGCATGTAGAGAATAATTGCTTGATATGACCAACATAATTGAAGGGTGTCATTTCTTGGTTCCATACGTAGAGCGTGTAGGAATGCCACCCAGTAAGAGAATTGTGGTTGAGCACAGCAGGGTTTGTGTCCCCAATTCCGATTTTTGGAGTAAACTGGGGAGGCTTTGTAATTATAGATTTTTTATTGTAGTTAATGTTATCATTGTTTATATAAAAAGTTGGGTGATAGGTTTATTTGTGTTAACAGCCTCGAGGAAATGTATTTATAAGCGTGAATGACTAGTTTTATAACCGAACGTGGATAACAATGATCAAAATGAAATGGCAGTGTAAGTGAGCTGGATCGGAAGAGAAGCTCCGAAGTATCAAAAGCGTGGTTTGTCGTTAGGAGGGTCTGAAACAGAAGAGAGATCATCATCCGATTAAGAATAGGCCTTGCAAGGTTGACACATGGAAATTTACTTTTGGGTAAAGCCCGCGTGTGCTCCGTATACAGAGAAAGGTTGCTCGATGTGTCCCACTTAATTAAAGGATGCCATCCCTTGGTTCCATATAGAGAGCGTGTAGGAATGCCACCTGATATGAAAATAATGCTTGAGCAATGAGCATATGGGTCCTCTGTTCCGAATTTTATATATAATTGTATATAGTACTGGAGAGATATCTCGTTTTTTGTATGTTGAGATTAAACGTATTTATTAGCGCGAATGAGTAAAGTACGGGCAACAATAAAATTTTGCGTGTTTTGTGTCAGAAGTTAATATGAACTTCAAGTTGGGGAAATATAACGAACTTTAACAGAATAGCAAACAGAAAAACAATCTGCTTTTATTGTTATTTTATTTGTTTAAAGGATAATAAAAAACTTCCCATGTTTTGCATGGATAAAAAAGACCCAGGAGAAATAAACGCCAACGTCGTTAGCAAGGTTTGATCACCCATTGACCGACCGCAGTCCAATTTTTCATGCTGGTTTAGATTTATTAATGAAATTTATCAAGGCAATCAGTAATAAATATCGGAAATACTATCAAGTTGGATTTATCATATTAATTAATTGGAAGATTGAAGGGTACTGAAATTCGCAGGGGATGAATCCGGAGGAAATTATGACCAACCAATCTCCGATTATTGATCTATTATTAAATCTCCTTCCTCTCCTAAAGACTTTCGAAGGCGGGCCCGAAGGGTTTCTCCATCAATTTTCTTCGGCTGTGTTTTGACCGACTTTGATCAATTATTCATCAGCGATGTTGATGTTATTTCTGCATTGCCAAGCAATGTTAAATATTTTATGTAACGGTGGATGTTTGATCTTCTTTTTTCTTTTGTAAAAGGTACGATGATAGCAATATTGTGATAAATTTCAATTTATCGAGACACCTTAGACTGCTTTTAGTATATCGGTGATATCGAACAGATTAGGCATCTATAGGAAAGGAAAAGAAACTGGTTATCTGATTTTAAAAAAATCACTTTTGAAGATTTTCAACAGGTGCTAAAAAATTTATGTTTTGGCCGTTTTCGATCATTTTGGTCTATTAGCGTTTCCGCCTCAGTGTCAAACTAGCGAGAGTAAACGTATCGAGTCACGACCAGTTCAAAATTTTTGTCACACACGTTTATAATTCATTCATACTAAAATAATATTCTGCTATCGACAGTAAATGTTGTGCTGAGGTCTGCAAGATGAACTGACCACTAAAGATGGGAAAATTCCGCAACGCATCTTGCATACAAAACCGGCTAGGAGATGATCAATATAAAAACACACTTGCGAGATGTAGTCTGCGACGTGATGAACCTGTAATTTGGTCGTTTCGGATCATACGGGTTTGCCTATTTTACCTGGTTTGGCCTGAAAGATGAGTTTCCGCTTCTCGCCATCTTCAGTCAAGGTGGAAAATTGAGAACCTATTCCCTTTTCCTGATATGGCTCAGTTAATTGCGATTAGTCATTTCGGTCCGCATATCCTCGCTGTTTTCGTTTTCGCCGTCTCCGACTGTCACGGCAGATGTTTTTCCAATTATGAAGATTTTTCCGTCAAATTAACCTTCTTTTGAACTTTCAAATCAACACTTTTCAACTTCAAATTAACCTTTTTTTAAATTCAAATAAACGCTTTTTATCCTCAAATTAACCTTTTTTAATTTCAAATTAACCCTTTTCAACTTCAAAATAACCTTTTTTAATTTCAAATTAACGCTTTTTAACTTCAAAATAACCTTTTTTAATTTCTAACTAACCCTTATCAACTCCAAATTAAAGTTTTATAAACTTCAAATTAACTTTTTTAAATTTTAAACTAACCCTTTTTAAATTCAAATTAACGTTTTTTAAACTTAAAACTAACCTGCTTTTAGAAGTTCAAATTAACTCTTGATAATTTCAAATTATTATTTTTTTAATTAAAATTTACCTTCTTTTAAAATTTCTAATTAATCCTCCTTTACTTCAAATTAACGTTATTTTAAAATTTCAAATTAACCCTTTTTAACGACAAATTAGATTTTTTTACATTTTAAATTAATCATTTATGTTAAATTCAAATAAGGTTTTTTAAAAATTACACTTACCCTTTTTAAACTTATTAATCTTTTTTAACTTCAAAGAAGCTTTTTTAAATTTCAAATTAACACTTTTTAACTTTAATTTAACCTTTTTTAATTTCAAATTAACCATTTCAAACTTCAAATTATCCAAAACCTGGGTAAATACAACAACCTGATGATAAATCTTGTGGGTGCCAAGGTACAGAGAAAGTTTGGGTAACGAGAAAGCAGACAGACTGGCCAGAGGAGGTTCTGCAAGACCACAAATAGACCCTGAACCTATACTTGGGACAACAAAACCAAATGTAGGATCCTCAATCGCAGAATGGATCCAAACAAAACAAAAGAAGAAGTGGATAAACTCTAGCGGTGCTAGATATTGTAAACTTATGATGAAACAACCCTCACCGAGACTGGCAAAAACACTGCTGCAATTGGAGATGGCTAAACTCAGAGGATTTGTAGGACTACTAACCGGTCACTGGTATCTGAGAAAACATCTACACAACATGGGCATATACAACGACAATCCCATCTGCAAAATATGTAATGAAGAGGAGGAAACAGCCACCCATATCATCTTCGAATGCGAAGCAACAGCTCAATGGAGATTTAACCTAAAAAAACTTAGGGAATGAAATTGTAGCAGCGACAGTCAATGACCTGATACTTCTAAGGGGAGTCTATTGCACTGAACTAAGGAACTAGGAAGGTACAATAAGTCAGAAGGCTGCAGTGCCTCGGGAGTACAAACCTCGCCTAGTAATCCTTATTAACATACCATAACATACCATACCAACCTTAAAATAACGGTTTTTTAAATTTTAAATTAGCATTTTTTTAACTTCAGATTAACCTTTTTAATTCTAAATTAACAGATTTTTTAAACTTCAAGGTAACCTTCTTGTACAAATTCCAACTAACCATTTTTAA